AACAATTGAAAGTCCATATTCAAATGTTTCAAATTAAAAAAAAAAAATCAAAGAAACCATTTGAAAAAAGTTTCATTCGACAACCTCAAACCATGAAGATTCTATGAAAATTAAAGAACCTATTGCAATAAAACGGCAATTTCATACTTTAACCCCTAATATGTGAATTTATTGATTACTATTTATAACAAGGTTTTACAGCCGTTTCGACTTATTGTAATACAGTTTAAATCTTTTACAATCACGCTGTGTGAATTTTCTCAAGAAAAAAGTAAGAAGCTTTTAAGTATAGATAGGTGTAGCCAGGATAGCCTTAGATCGTCAATAGATAACTTCGGCTGCGCCGTCAGCAGTCGTAGGCGCTGTACGAGCGCGGTTGAAGCCTTTGGCATAACTTTGGATGCGTTTAGCCGTCGTTGTCGTCGCCGCACAAACGCGATCGGAAATTCACAGAAAGCCGATTGTTGCCCAGCCTGTATCGAGTCAAGTCGGCCGAGATGAAGCGAAACACATTTCTTTTTCATTTGTATAGTATGGACATAAAGCTTTTTCTACCGACCTACTATTCCACATCGATAAGTGTGGTGATTCCCTAGCGTTATGAAATGGCACGAGAAAAAAATTTATTTGTAAACTGTATTGGGAAATTAGTACTCAATTTACTCTTAGGTATAATGAGTAATTATGTGAAATAAATACGTTTTCAATGGATTCCTCGTGATTCGTTTATTTTGTCCGTCATTTAAAATTAGACAGATCCCCCGACAAAAAGTTGTTGGTCCATTGTGACTACAGCTTGACCATCCGGGGTTCATCGCCGGCACATGTATGGTATGGAGGCTCCTGTCGCAAGACGTGCGTCTGAGAATATGGACAATGATTACATCTGTCTACAGTCGCTGTGGATGGAAGAAAACAATGCAACCCGTGCGCGATGCTCGCTGTGCTCGGCGGGCACAGGCACAGGCGTCGCCGCTACGCGGCGACACAGCTCCCATCTGGTCGCGCACAGAACGCCCGTATGGCTCGTACCTCCCACTCGCACGTCACCACCATCTGCTACCCGTTTGCTAGTTAGCTAGACACATGTTCACTCATTCTTCTTGTCAACCACAGGATATCATTATGTAATTAGTGCGTCATTATCATAAAGCACGATTTTTAAATATTTGTAAGATTTTGTGCAAACGATTTAAAGTATATAAGTAGATATACACGTTGTTCGGATTAATGAGAGTTTTGTGTGTCTTTTATTTCATGTTTCCAAATCCAAATCACCCTGACATAAAAAAACGTCAGTCAGGTGACATGTTGAGGAGTCCGGGTTTACTGCTTAGGAGACTTCGTAAAACATACCTAAATTGCGCTATTGATCCTATGGTACGTCGTTGAATGCCAATTATGCCGTTCATTCAATAGCGATGAAGTAAACACGAGTTTCTCCCATTACACCGAACTATATTGGCAGTCGGTACAGCCATAGGTATTTACCACTGCTTTTCCTGTCTGTGCGAAAGGGTTCGTTGCTACAGAGCAGAAACAACTGCGCACCAAATATACTGTCGTTCTCGTATATCTTGCACTTATTATGAGTTTCCAAGTCTTTTCAAGTGGTTACTAGTTAAAATGTCTATTTCTCATTTATAAATTTTCATCATAATTTCTCTTATATTATAAACCATGACTTAGGGAGATTTTCTCTTAATTTATTCTGTGAATTTATATTATTTATGGCACTGGCAAATATAAACTTCACAATTTCCATTTTGTATTAAATCTTAGAGATAATAGTTTAGCCACAATTTTATGTTATTGATGTTAGAATAAACAATTGGAGGCACAATTCTCCCGCACTGCCCTTGGATATTTTAACAGGGTTCATGAATAAATGCACCAGATAGGTGATGTGACAAGCACTGTTTGTTACTACTCAAGGAAGCTCCGCGCCGGTTTAGTGCCCGAAAGGTTATTCATATTTTGATATACATACATAATTTTGCGAAAGTCATTATTTTGCTAAAATAATATTTTGTAACTCAGAAGTTTGTTTACTGAGACTCGGGAACATGTGCGACGCCTAGTGAGGCACCTGAAGAGGCGGTACTACTTGCAAGAGCGGTACCCGAAAGCTTATTATCTAACGGCGTGCAAGAAAATGAGCACTAATATTTACAACAACTGAATATGACGAGTACAGCACATGGGAACTTTTTACAACCCTTACAAGAAAAAGGCCACTGCACGCACCTCATCAATAATATTTTAAAGCAAATAATGCATGAACGCATATCTGGTTCAAAGCTCTTATACATAACCTTATTGAATTCCCCGCGTGTCGCTCCACGTCTCCTTGAACGAGACCTCAAGATTGTACAGAGTGAAACTAAACTTGTATAGCGTTATGCTAATAAAATTTGATAAGTGTGTGTGCTCGTGTTTCAGGTATCAACGCAGTCATGTAATATTTATCAAAATCACATACATCTATTTATAATTATGTAGTATGTACGGATCTCAGTCCTATATTAATAGCGCCGTAGTAATCGAGTATCGAAAGGAAACTAATTTGTGATGGTGTAGAATAGAACAGGTGTCCTAATAACCAGGTTGCCGCCGGACAAGCGTGATAGTGTTTGTAGGCGGTTCCATATACCTTACGTAGTTTTTCTTTGCGTCTCTCGAAATTCAAAATAACCTTGTAAAACACGAGGGTAAATCATGATAAACCACAAACTTTTCCTATGTTATTATTAGTGCGCGCCTTTGATATACGCTTAGGTGGGTTCTAAATTACAATATTTTACCGGTGTAGGTATCCATTGTTAAGCAATATGTTTTGGAATGTAGAGTCTGGTTGATGCGAGGCGGCGACGCAGTTCACACGCAATGCCTGCAGGCGGTGCCGGGAGCGGCGCGGGCGCAGTTGGAAGGGATCGCAAAAAGTCGTCTGTGGCACTGGACATGCGCGAGGTTTTCACTTATTTTTCTTACTATATTTATTTCATTTTTGTAGAAATAGGCATTCGCAATTTTTGTTGTTCGCAATTGCTATTCTTTTCGTTTATTTGTTTATTCGTGTGTTTTATAATTATCTAGGTGTTATTATAATTTAGGTGGAACAGCTGACAGCGTCGGTGACGCCCGGCTCACAGGAAGAGCTGCGCCGGCCACATCACGACTCTATTATGAAACGCATTCCTAGTGGCGCGGAGGCCACAACTGTGCTGGTAGGCGCTGTAAGCTTCCTAGAGCAACCCACCATCGCGTTCGTGCGGCTTGCACATGGTATTCTTATGCCCTCCATCACAGAGGTGCCAGTGCCCGTGCGGTTCATGTTCGTGCTTCTCGGCCCTCCCGGTGCAGACCTCGATTACCACGAAGTGGGCCGCTCCATCTCGACCCTCATGGCCAATCCCTCATTTCACGACCTCGCGTACAAGGCGGATGATCGCAGAGAATTGTTGTCGGGTATCAATGAGTTCTTGGATGACTCAATAGTGTTGCCGCCGGGTGATTGGGAGCGGCAAACGCTCCTTCCGTTCGAGGAACTGCGAGCCAAGAGCGAAATGATCCGTCGGCGTAAACGCGATGCGCTAGAGCGTAGACGCGCGTCCGCCGCGGGCGTGCCCGATGAGAAACAGGCGCTGCTAGCAGCAGAGAAAGCTGCGCTGCCATCAAAGGAGGTCGACGATCCCCTCTCCAGAACGGGTCGTCTATTTGGAGGTTCGTTTGCGATTCTGGTAGAAGTGCTTTAAATCGAGCTATGCAGTATCTAAAGTGCTTATGGTGGCGCAGGTGTAATCCGCGATATGCGTCGACGCTACCCTCACTACGTGTCGGATTTTCGCGATGCGCTTAATGGACAATGCGCTGCCGCTGCGATATTCATGTACTTCGCGGCGCTCTCCTCCGCCATCACCTTTGGCGGCCTGCTCGCCGAAAAGACCTACGGACAGATCGGCATCTCTGAAACACTAGTAATAATACAGTTCTCTATGTTAACATAAAAAAACACTTTGCCTAGCAACCACGAACAGTATACATGTTAACATACAAATAAATTACTTGTCACACTTACTGACACCAATATTATTTGTTTAATACAGGTTTAATACAATTTAGTTTAATAACAAAAATAACGCTCGCTGATGACATTTACAAAACCACACGTCGTTAACAAATTCTCTTATTAATTACGTATACTATGGTTCGACAATTTTGTGCACCAAACGTGTAGGGCCACTGGACATCATACAAATCTGCTTTCAATTGTCCTTAACCTTGTGTTAGAGTAATAAAATACACTAAACAGGTACACATATGTACCTAGATATACAGAGCATATAAGTGTGATTGGATTTGACGTTAAGCGGGCCTCACGTAAGGGCACTGCGTCTGTTCTTGTATTTTTTTAGAATATCTACACTTTTCTGGTGTCCCTGCAAATTATTTATGTAACTATCTACTTTAGAAGGGCAGGCCAAAATTACCCAGTATAGACGAGTGTATGTATGTGCGTCAGTTATTCACGTGTCTGGGCGGCGTGGTGTTCGCACTTGGTGCCGGGCAGCCAATGATGATAACGGGTGCGACGGGGCCGTTGCTGCTGCTTGACCAATCGCTTGTAGAATTCTGCCGCGCCTACGGCTTCGACTTCCTCGCTGCGCGCATGTATTGTGGCCTCTGGATGGTGGTCATCGCACTTTGCGTCGCCTCCGTCGAGGGTAGCGTCGCTGTTAAAAAGATTACCAGGTATTCAAATACATTTCCTACCTTATCTGATACTATTTAGTTTTAGACCTGAGGATTTAGGCTGTTATATATGAAAAATCTGAGACTCATCAATCTTGCCATGACTCTGTAATCCTGTGACAGTGGCCATAAGAGATAGGTCTTCACATGCTTCTTTTCTTTATGCTTCATTTCGTCATCTGCCTTGTCTTAACGAATTGCCTCAGTACCCACGTAAACAGATAGTACTGCTCCTTTAGCAGTACTATCAGTGTTACACAGCTGAAATTTCGACAGGTTCACCGAAGACGTATTCGCGTTCCTTATCTCGCTGATCTTCATATCGGAGCCGATCACGAACATGATCGGAGTGTATCGCGCGCACCCACTAGGCGTAGACTACTGTGCGTTTAATAACAGCACCGGCAATGCCACGGCCGCGAGCAACCTGACGGCAGCGTCGGCGCCAGGTGCGTACCTCTCTTTCTCCCATTCTACACTTGTTCGCTACTAAAACTAATAGGGTGATTGTGCGCAGGTGTCGCCAATGCGTCGCTGCCAACAGGCCTGCCACCGGTGCCGTTTGCACCGAAGCCTAACACTGCGCTCTTCTGCACCATGCTTACGCTCTCCACCTTCGCCATAGCCTATTATCTACGCATCTTTCGCAACGGGAAATTCCTGGGCCGCAGTGTAAATATTTGTCATTGTCTCCACATATACAACACTTTCAGCATCGACTGTCTCGTAACGCTGCACATATTAATTGTTGTTTAAAAATGTCGCGTTTTGGCCTCGAGAATCGGAATGTAGAATACTCAACAGTAAAGTAATAAATGACTATCGTAGGGAATGACGTTCCAACATGTGAAGGTGAGATGCTAACCAGTCGCTGCACCGAGTCTCTGGACTGCAACTAAATCGCCGATAGTCTACCTAGATTAAATGTTGTGTGAGCGGAGAGCAACTGCAGTGCAATATTTTTTATCGTTGTTAAGTGTGCCCCGTAATCCCGAGGCTTTCAAAGTGCTCGCATCCGTCTTCGAAGTGACTCTCTGATGCTATAGCAAATTACCCCGTTTTATGTACCTACTTATATTAACGCTTTCAGTGCCGACTTTTAAAAACGCTCCCTTTTCATTAAACATTTGCTATTACAAATACATATAATAGTAATATATGGCTAGATTAAAAACAAGGGGGGTATCGACATTGAATCAGTCAAACTCAAGAGCGACGTATGTACGTACGTTTGAAATTTGCTCCATATAAGTAGTAGTCATTGTCGTAAGTGTCTTATGTAGACAGAGCGTGTATGTGCAGGCTCGGCGAGCTTTGGGTGACTTCGGTGTGCCTATTGCGATTGCGCTGATGGTGGGCATATCGTGCGCGGTGCCCGTGTGGACGGAGACGCTGCGGGTGCCCGCCGGTCTCAACCCTACGGCGGCCCGCTCCTGGCTCGTCCCGCTCAATCCCGGGCTTGAGACCATCCCAATGTGGGCCGCCCTCGTAATGGTGCTACCCGCGTTTATGGTCTACATTATCGTCTTTATGGAGACGCATATTGCCGAGTAAGTAACGGTTTTTGCCCTTCAAACACTAATAGAAAGAAGCTGACAGTTTCATAACCTTAGGGGGACAGCGTTAGGTTTTTATTTTTATTATTGCTTGGCAACTTTTTTGTGGAAGCATAACATAACATAACATAACATATACTAAGCATTATGTAATTATACTCTATTCTTATTATTTTAATTAACTTTTATTATCATAGTGTTTTATTATCATCTGTTAGATCATTAAAAAAGTAAGTATAACTATCTTCTTCACTCCACTTCCCGTCACGTGGAAATTAATTTGACGTGAGTATTTTCTTATTAGGATTGAACTCAATACGTATAGTCGACCAATCACACAAGTCTCTTGACTCGTCCATCCTCACTTAAAATTTGGCATACATTTAATGTGGACAGTTATTACAGAATTCATGAAAGTGGAGAGAAGACATGTATTTAAACAACCAATAGATTTTCCTTATATTGGTATTGGTATTGGTGCAACGGGCTAGTTTCCGCAACTCGACGTCGAGGCGCCTATTTTGCGTGTAGAATTTCCTTATTTTTACAGATGAAAAATAATAGATGTGAGAACATAACAAAACCCGTTTTAGTTGTTGCATTTCTTCAAACACATTTCTTCTTTTCTGTGCTTTGATGAATATTCAAATATGGCCGTAATACTTGTAAAATGTTAAAATAATATAACTAAACGTAAATATGTACCATGTGCCAAGACTTTCTCTTTTTCATATAGGAAGTAGGTAGGTATAGGTAAATGTTTTTATTTATTACTTATAGATTTTCTAATTTATTACGTCATATTTATAGTCAAGTAGATATTCCAATGCATAATAAAATCAATGAGAATATCTTTTTCCGTTTATACGACTGGAAGGTACTGGTGGTCGTTGGTATGCAGTGATCAGTTGGAGAAGACTTGGAGAAGTTCTAAACACTGCTAAGCTTGAATGATATGGATCCACCTTAATATAATGGATTTCAAAGGAACACTAAAAAAAAATTTTCTGGGTGGATGCATATAAACAAAACGCCAATTTCTTATTCGGATTACCGTACGAACGAAAAGGAAACACCAGAAAGTAAACTCGTCTTTGATTTCTGAAATTTGAGTGCACTCAGAAGAAATACATACCTATATCATATTTTATCAATAGACTTTGTGGACACCTCTTTGGTCTATACTAAAATAAACTCGGGAACTATAGCTCGAATTCGCATTAGGTTAGGTTATGTTGCCTCCTAACGTAACACTTCGTGGGCCACCAGTCCAATGTGTATTACGTTTGGGTATACCTACGAAACCAAACCGTTGTTGTAACCCTATTACGCTACGCAGCCGCAGCTACGGGTACCTACTTGTGAAGCTACGTAACGTAAAAGCATAATACGTATAGTATTATGTTAGTATTTCTTATGCCTTACCAAAGTACAAACTTGACAAACGTAATGTTTTCCCAAAAAATATGATACTGTACAATAGTGAATAATGTGGCTGCAAAACAGTCTTGCTTATTTTTCAACTTTATGTAACTCTGTGCAATTTATAATAAATCTAACGTTACCAGTTATGTCAGACGATTGTTTATTAACACCCCGTCCCCTGAGACAAAAGCAAAATCAGTTCAGGTCAATAAAAGTAAGTGAATGATCAAAAAGTATTTTAGAATAATCTTTTACATACAAAAAACCTAGTCTTGTCGCGATAATACATGAGTCGGTTTATGCTGCAGGCTAATCGTGGACAAGCCGGAGCGACACCTACAAAAGGGAAGCGGGTTTCACATGGACATCGTGATTATGTCGTGCGTAAACGCTATGTGTGGCGTGTTTGGTGCGCCATGGCAGTGCGTCGCTACCGTACGCTCCGTCAGCCATGTGTCCGCGCTTACCGTCATGTCCACCACACACGCGCCTGGTGACAAGCCCTACATCATCGAGGTTAAAGGTAAACTTGACGTTCATTGACCAGCGAGATCGAGGTCTAGATTTAAGTTCCACGGTATAACCATTCTCAGCATTCAATTGTTGACATAATTTAATTGGATCCTAATTTTATACAATAGACCCAATATTACACATTTTTTTTAAAACAGACCACTTTTTTATTGACATAGGTGTCATGAAAAAAGTGGTCTGTTTTTAAAAAAATTATTTATTTGATATTATTAAGAATTTTAATTCATGTTCAAGTGCGGTAGTACCTATACTTCTACAGCACTTGAATGAGAACCAAATTGCGTGCCGGCCGTACGAGTTTGGGACACTCTTCCAAAAATTAAAAATTCATAACCACCGAGCTCCGCGTAATAGTCACGTATCCGACAACACCGACACTTCATCCTATAGTAAAATAATGCATTATAAAGTGATTGAATGTGAGCCAATAATTTTTGTAATAGATGCTTCTGTTGGCATCACGTTTCTCATTCTTCACCTTTCTTTAGAAAGCTAATTTTTTTCAGTATCACTTCTCTTACACGTAAATGAACTAAAAACGAGTAGGTATTACGCATCGAGTATATAACCAGAAATAGAGACAAAATGTCATTTAATTTGTTTGAAAACTATTCTGCCATATCATTACTGTGACAACTGCGCTCCGATTGGCTAGTCCGAGTTCGAAACAATTGACGTGTCGTGTCGAAGTGTCGTCAACTATTTCACTTCAAACCATCCAGTTAACTTGAGCTTTGCTATAATGGACGAAAATTGCAAAATTACTTATTTAATATTTAAATACCGATGAAATGTGATTCCGTTTGTTTTGTAATTAGATGTTTTGCTGTTTTTCCCACAGCACCGAATGGAACAGCACGGCATTGTTGAGATATTATCTTTATTACAAAAAATACAGAATATTTTTTGGAATATACGGAGACGTACACACAGGTCAGTAGTTGGCCTATCTATATTTCAGTGCAAACGAGAGTTAATATTTATAAGAGCTGTATCGCTAATGTGTTACGTCTCTATTTCTGGTTATATACTCGATGGTATTACGTGCGCATGGTTCCATGAGTCATAAAAAAAATTAAAAGTGCTATCGTCAACTTTACTGATCGAAAACTGCTTCCGGACACATCTTAAACATCACCCCTCGGTGAACATGGCTTTTTATGTTTTGGCTGGCCTGGCTTTGTTTTGTTCCTAATAAGACATAACAATAGCAAAACTTTAGAATCTAATGAAGACAAACGTATTTCTTATAACAATTGTCAAAGTGCCTTGTCAAATTATTAAAATTAAATATTATTTATATTATAAGCAAAACCACTAATGATTTTTCTAAAAATGTATGACTTCAACTATATACTGCAATTTATCTGTTGAAAACTAAGAGGAATACCTATTTGTTGCGCGACACAGAACAGCGTCTGACCGGTCTATTGGTCTCGGTGTTGGTGGGCATCTCGGTGCTAGCGTCGGGTTGGCTGCGACTAGTGCCCATGGCCGTACTCTTTGGCGTGTTTCTCTACATGGGCATTTCTGCGCTGGGCGGCATCCAGTTCTGGGACCGCTGCATCCTGCTCTTTAAGCCTGTTAAGCATCATCCACAGGTGCCATACGTGCGCCGGGTGAGTTTTCAGTATATTGAACACCTTTTAACATTGGCATCTTCTCCCCCGAAGAGTAGTTAAAGCGGTCTGTGGTCTGTTTGCAGGTGCCGACGTTGCGTATGCACCTGTATACTGTGATCCAGCTGGCAGGCATCTGCGTACTGTACGCCGTCAAGTCATCCAGATTCTCACTTGCGCTTCCCTTCTTCCTGGTGTTGATGGTGCCGCTGCGTATGTCACTCGCGTACATCTTCACTCCGATGCAGTTACGAGCGGTTAGTATCCAACGTACTGCGCATACATACAGTGAGTCACTCCGTGTATACATTAGGACACGAACGTTTAAAATGTACTACTATTCACAGATCAATGTTCTTAAAGGGTAACAAACTAGATTAAAATAATATAATTAATATTTTTTGCCTCATGAAACAAGTAGTGTGTACCCGTATACGTACACCTCGGAATGACAATCGTCGAATCGCGTTGAACTGTTACGGTTTTGTTAGTAAAAACCTACTTACAGTAAACCACGTGTTTCTAATGTTTCAGCTGGATGGGGCTCAGAAAGACATCGACAAAGACGACGAGCCAGACTTCTACGAAGAAGCACCACTGCCGGGATAAGCTAACATTGCTTGTAGTATCTATAAAAACCGTTAAGAATTTAGATTAAGAAAATGATGTAGATAAATAGATAAAATAGATAGGTGTAAATAGTATTAAGTATTGAAAGACATGCATACTCTAAATAAAACGTAACCATTTCAAACACACATGCAATGAATAAGAGGCGAATTCTGACTGGCAGGCTACTTAAAGACTCCATGCGTCCAGAAAATTTGCCGGCGTGTGCGCAATGAAATGTGCAAATTACTTTCTGTTCGTCGTAGTAAAATTTGAGGCGGGGCCATAAATATACGAACTAACGCACTTTTGTATAATGCATTCAGTTTCGTGTACGGCCGCTTGTACATTTTTTGGCCAAATTTGACATTTAGTGATGTTAGTATACGTTAGGCAACACTGTTCTCGATTCTGATCGATTTTGAAAACAAAGAGACGAAAATTATTATAACCTTAGCAATATTATAAAAATATTCTTTAACTTTTTTGTTATATCGTTTAGTAACGTTTTGTTTTTTTCTTTCAGTTTTGTAGTATTTATTATCAGAAGTATCTGTAATTTGGATAATTTTTGCAACGCCTCGAATGTCCGAATGAGCAAATAATTACATACATCGCCGGATATGTAGTACAAGTAATACAAAAAATATATATAAAATGCGAAGAATGTAACAGTGCGCTTTCTTTACAAAAACGTGGAGTTGCTCATACGTATGAATTCGTTGCTTTCAAGGACGAAGTTGGTCTAGTTTATCCCACCTAAGATGCTATCCAAATATGCAGAGCAGCAGAGTTAGAAATCCGAGAAATAATAAACAAATCACAAAAATTTCACACGAGGCTGTCATTAAGTAAGCCTCTTCTGATTAATAAGATTTTACCATATTTTGTCAGCAGTAAATTTTCAGTTGTCTTGCCATTCATTAATTTGATCAATTACCAACACAATAATGCGTGTTCCGTTCAATCGATTTAGAGCGGAAGGAGATTTCGATTTCCCATCACTAAATAGTTCGTGTGAGGCTCTTAGTGGGTACAAAAAATGTGGCACTCTTGGTTTTTGAAACAAGGAAAATGTTTCTCTAAAATACATGGAAGCTCATAATTAATACGACCTAAGCTGTTAGCATGTTCATGTTATTATTACGATTTACATGAAACACTGTATATAACTTGTTTTCATTCTGTAGTAGTACGTAAGTATTGTTAGTTTATAACTTAAAGGGTACGACGCGCGACATCTCATTCGAGCTCCACCGCAAGTAGGTACACTTCCACGAATTAATGGCTAATTTGTATTATGCGCGCGTGTGTGCTGTTTTAATCGAATATAATACGCGGGAAGTGGATGTTTAAAAGCCCATCCCCGGTTTAGAAATTTGACCATGCAGACGGGCCTGTGCAGCGTAATCATAGGACGAATAGGTACATGTTTGTGATGTTAGTGATTATTTCAATGTTAAACACATAAATGCACTTGGTTGGTCGCTTGTGTATCCTAGGGTTGGTAGGTACAAAGGTAGAGGGTAAGGAAGAGTATTGCCGATCACTTAAGGAAAGATCATCACCGATTAGCAAACAATCAACATTTATGTACTAAACTCGTCATATACAAAACTTTAGTTATTCTAATAAGATAATCACAGTCATTGAGATCAAAAGTCAAAGAAAATTTGGCATAATCAACATTTAAAAAAAATATACATTTTACCGGTGTTAAACACCTGGAGGGGTAATGGCGGTCGCCAATTTTGTAATACCGGTCAAATTGTGCTTAGGCATAAATCACATATGTAGCCAGGAGAGTCATATCCTTAGCATTCAGCGTGAGCCCAAAGACCACATAGCACACACATAAACCAAAGCTCACTATGACGTCCATAGTCATAGCAGATAATACACTTGTTCTCAGAGTCCCCTTCAACATCAGTATCATCATCTTCGCGCAGGTCTGCCATATAAATATCGGAGTTAGATGATATCATTAATATATTTGTCTAATACTCTTTAACATTTGTACTTTGGGCGGACATTTTCTTTTCTTTGTTTTCTCATTTTTAATTTTACTTCCAGATTCATTTTTATTTTATTTTGCAGCTCTTTTATTTTCTTTCTGAATAAGAGCTTCTTTAGTCGGGGTATCTGTTATAACCATTGCATGCTGTTTCCGAGATACGACTGTTTTCTTATCTATTTATATTTCTTAACTAGCTGTGGTCTATCACAATTTTTTTTTCAGTCTTTCTTGGAGGATTGAAAATGACACGCCAGTTCTTCAACTAGTTGAAAATTTAAGTAAATCACTTTGGCTCCATTTTGTTTTTGAACGTACTTTATTCCGCAGTGTCGACATTCTGAAACAATAACAAATAACAAAATATACTTAACAAAATAATTACTTATTTATGATGACAATAAGCGGGTATCACCGGTCAACATTACCTTCTCTTCTTTATTTCCGAATACATATTTTTTACCAAAAACCGTTAGCAATGTAGATTTTAAGGCTCTCGTGGTTATTCACTAAACGATTATCACTAATTTCAGGCTTCTTACCACGGTATAACTTCTTTTTATTTTCCCGATATTTCGGAACGGTCACACGCTCCATGGTCACAGGTTGATTGATCATCGCGATTTATTGTGGCGTTACCATTGTCACTCACTTTTTTCCCACAAAACACACTCACTGTATCCACAGGCGAAACTGAACTCGAGGTGTTTTTGTTTTTATTACTGCACGCACTAAGGACCGGATTCCATGCATTGGACAGTTTATACCATCCTCACGGTTAAATGTTTTATACTTCGTGATCTCGATGGCTTCTCGTACCAACCGTGTTATGTAGTGACGTTCTGTCGACAGTATCTGGAGGCTATGCAACTCGATCCAGTGGTTAGTGTCAGTTCGTGTGAGATGTTGTGCTATAGCCGACTTCTGTGCAACATTGTTTTTACTGCTCGGATGTGTTCCTTCGTACGATCGATAATTGTTCGTTTAGTCTGGCCGATATACGAGCTCCCACAACTGCAGTTCACTTTATAGATACCCAGTGTTTGTAAAGGAAGGTGGTCTTTTGGTGAACGTAACATTTTTCCTATTTTGGTTATGGGTGTGAAAACAGTTTTTATGGAAAACCTCCTTAGCAACCTGCCTATTTTATATGTCATCCCTTGTACATAGGGCAGAAAAACTGGTAGTCTCTGTACGTCAATTTTCTTCTTCCTTTTGTGTATCGGTTTACTTATTTTTATTTCGTATTCATTCAGTCGCAAAACCGTATTAACGAGTTACTGTTCCTATTTAAAAAAAAAAGGTGGTGTGCATCACAAAGATCATAAGCTCCATTGGTTAATGACCTGACAACCGAATGTAGGTGTTTTGGGTGATGATATGAAGAGGCATGTAAATATTTATCCCTGTGATTATGTGGGTTTTCTGTACACAGAAGGACCGAGTGAACCGTCTTGTCGGACTTTGACCAATACATCCAAAAACGCAAGCGCGCCACATTTCGCAATTTCACAACTGAACTTCATTTTGTTATGGGTGTTGTTAAATGTGCTAAATAATTTTGTACATGTTGCTCCTTTCCTCCCATTACGCAAAATACGTCATCAACATACCTCTTCCATAATTTTATTGTTGATGGTGCTGACAGAATGGCAGCGTGTTCATAGTGTTCCATCCAAATGTTGGCAACAATGGGAGCAACGAGACTGCCCATCGCTACACCATCAATCTGAAGGTAGTATTGACCATTATACAGGAAGTAGCTCGTGTTTAAGCAATGTTCAAGTAATTTAGCAATCTCCATTGGGATGTTATTTTCTTGAAGTTTCACCTTGATAACATCGATGCACTCCTTTAGTGGTACGTTTGTGAAAAGAGACTCAACGTCATATCTAACCATTGTCTCATTCTCGTTAATGCGTGCGTGTAAGGGCGCGTTCAAATTAGCCGCTGTTAGCTGCGCTGCAGCAGCGCGACTGTCACGCGGCCGCCGCGCGGCTGCAGCGCGGCTAATTTGAACGCGCCCTTATTGTCAATGAAATGTGTGGAGTCATTCACTAAGGAGTTCGTTGTGCCTACTAGAGGTCAATCTGAATTATAAAGAACATAATAAGAAAGAAAGTAAATACCTAATTGCCTACCCTAATGATTAAAAACTCTTCAATAACTATTTCTGGATGCGTATTTAATGGTAAAACCACTAAGTTGCCAACATTTTGTCTTTCACTCGCTCACTGCTGCTTATGAAATCACAACACTTAAATTAGGCCTTATTCAGAATAGCTTATATCCATACAATAACAACGAAAAAGACATTGTGCGTTACAATTCAATTCGACTACCTGCTGAATTTGCAATCGTTGCTTCGTACTCATATGGCATCGCCGAAGATAACTTTACGCATCCACAGACGTCCGAACAATTCCGATCACGTCTATGTTGCGCTACCAACGAGAGCGAAACACACATGAGAGCGGAAAACGTTTTTAGAGCATCAAGAAATTGTAAATAAACTAAATTCGTACATATAGAGAGAATATTGAATACTGTCGATCACTTACTAGCAAGCGTTGGCCACCTTTCAAGCCCCCGCCAATCGGCGGTGTCAACAGCCGATCGGTGGCGTCAATAACCGCTTGGCTCGTTTATATATTCAGCTCAAACCGTATCCACGTCAATAAGTGTAGTACCTCCCTAAACATCGCCACCATCGCCTTCGGCGCCGCCACCCTTCATAGCTACACTGCACAGGCCCTTGGGAATAGATATCGATCATTGTAAAAAATGTACAAAATGAATGGCGAAACTTTAAGAGAACGAATTATTTCTGTACCTGTGAATTAGTTGCTCATACGTCTATATAAGAATATTTAAACTATAAATACATTCCGAAAGCGTTTTGTATTTATGATGTATGTGAGCCATAATGCAGTAACAAAGATAAGATTTAACGAATAATAATAAAAAAATATATTTAAGACCAGCTTGTACTATGTGAGGAAAGCCGCATGCTGGAATATTGTAACATTCACCGTCCGCTAACGCAAACAGAAGTGTGCTCAGAATATATTTATTTAATGTAAGCACTTGTAATGGATGGCTCAATCAGAATCCGGTTACTTGCTCAAATTGTTACTATAAATTATATAAAAGTACCTACACAAAAATATATACTTTATCTTGCGTATTTGATATCAATGTGTGTTTGATCGTACCTATTGCATAATATAGAATTTAATACAATTGTTGCATAATGAGGGTTCTTAAAATTGAGTACCCCATTTAAGCCATGAGGCTTTGCCGAGTTGTAGTAGGTACGAGTTTTTAAGACTTAATTATGTAATAACCATTACATAAGTAAGTGCACACAATACTTTTTCTACGAATAAATAAAATAATGAAACACAACC